ACCTTCAAGACAGATTTAAATAATAATTCCAGCAGATGCCTCTTGTCATTAGAACATACAGAGGAAGACATGCATATTATTAGAAGCACAGGAACTCTCTCCTGCGAGTGCTGCTTTTTAACACAGATCACCAATAAGTCATGTCATATACCTCTGTAACCATAACAAAGGATGGTAATTCTCCATGAGGAGCCCCAAAGAGATGCTAAGGGATAGAATCCTATTGGCTATTTACACTGGCATAAATGTAATTGTGTAAATTACAATGGCAAATTACAGGTAATTAATTATCTTCTACTTGTATTCCTGATCACAAGCAACTAAAAGCAGGAGCAGCAATTATTTAATTAGTAAAAACTGATTGCCATGGTTTATGCAGTTACACATACATGGATGTAAATCCTCAACAGGATTCTGGCTAAGGCTTACCTTCTGTAACCAAATTGGTCTGTCTTGTTTTAGAAGGAAACACAAAAATATAGGATATAATTTATTATTTTATCCATGACATGAAGAAATATTTGTCTGGTTAAAAAAATATTATGAAAAGGTTATCAGCATTGTTCCTTATCTAATGGAAGTCCTTAGCCTGAATATCTTCATGGGAAGAAGGGTTGAGGCCATATATAGAGTTAGGTTTTTTGTAATGATCTTGTATTAATAAGAATTAAGAAGTAGTGGAAAAATACACATGGGGATTTTATTCAACAACATTTGGGACACTGGCATTGATCCCAGAGAGCCAGCAGCAAACTGAATAAAATAAACATTAGATTGCTGAATGGGGTTTTCTGAGGTATCTCACATGTGTTTCTGTGTTATATGGTAAATATTTTGGGTCTGTTTCTGGTTAATATTATTGACTCAGATTAAAAAAGAAAAAAGAGAGTCAACCCCCAGAAAAATTCGGAAGCTTTTCTAAACTATTAGTTTATCCCATTTGATATGCAACGATATTACTTCCCTGTGTGTATGTTTCTGAAGAAATATCAAAAAAATGTTTGATGTGTGTGTCTTAATCCTTTGACATATAATATTACTTAAATAAGAAAAGACTATAATTAATGTTGTGCTGCATTCAAACATCAGAGCAAAACAAACAAACCTACCCCTACAAAGTATAATTCAAGCATATCTTTTATCAGAGTCCTACAACAATTATTTGGCTGCTGAATGCAAATTAACATATTAGTTTCTACACAGAGAGACAGAGAGACAGAGAGAGAGAGACTGCATATTTGGTTTTTCTATCCCACAGATTTACAATCCACAGCTAGTATGGTGTAGTGGTTTTAGTTTTGGACTGGGATTTGGGAGAATCAGGTTTAAGTTCTCACTGAACAGTGAAACTCATTGAGTGACCTCAGCCAGTCACGATCTCAGCCTTATATGCCTCCTAAGATTGTTATGACATGGAGAAGAAGGTGAGGAAGAGGAGGAGGAAAAGACAGGATGATGATGATAATGATGATGATAATTGTATTTTACCTCTTTCTAAGAATCACACACCTCTTGCCATTTTTAGGCTAGAAGTGAGCTTTTCCTTAGAGTAAACCCTCTTTCTTCTTGTCATCTTTCTTCTACTCCATGCCTCTTCTCCTTCTTTCTCTACTGGCCCAGTTTTGCAGGCCAGTGCCTTTCTTGAGCCCATCTGTGAGCTGCCTTCCAGCCATGGATTTCTTATGCTTCACTTATTCCTATCACACACTGCAGCTACTGGCTGTCCACATAAGCAATATACTGTACACTCTACAAGCTATAATTTTTCTTCTTCAAATCTATAATAAAGAACTAAATCAGTCAGTAAATTACAACTACAGGTCTATATCCCAACTAAATACTCTGTTAATAACTGTGAAGGAAAGTATAGAGTCTCTGAGAAGGATAGTCCCAGAAAGTGGTGCTGAGAAACTGGTGGTCTACAATATGACATCCCGGAGGAATCCATGTTCTCTTCCTTTAAGTGCTACATGAATCATCTGGAGGAAACTGGGCAGACATATCATTAGTGCTGATGAGTGATGACATGCTGGGGGGAAATAGAGATCTTTGGTTTTGTTTTTAAAAGTCAAATTTCCTGAGCTGTGTGAAGAAATAGAAGCTAAATAGAGAAACTGTGGGACAAGGATGTGTTCTTAATCAGAGCTGACTCATTAGATGGAACGATAAATGGTGTGGAGAGGGCAGCAAACACTTTTTCTGGAGGCAGAGAGAACTATATGTCCCATATACTTTCCCTCACACTTACCAAGCTGGTTTGCTATCCTTAGATGATGTGCAGAGGTCACCAGTGTTGACGTATGATTACGTAAGTTGTAAGACTCATCAACTTCTGTAGATGGAAGAGGAGGTAACACTTTGTATGCCTCAGGGATGAAAGATCATGGGTTGGTCCTCCAGAAAAAGCAATCAAATAAACCATGTCCTCAGTAAAAGAGTAGTTTTGAAAGTACCCTTAGTTATCTGCTTGGGGAGGGCTCTTGCAGCTCTTACCCAAATTCCAAACAGGTAGAAGAGAAACATGTTTTTTGTTTTGTTTTGTTGAGCCAATGTGTGAATTGAGTAATCCTTCAGACATTTATCCCCTACAAAAAGTGAAAACAAATATAAGACCTCCCATTATATTCCCCCTCCCCTTCACGGATTGCTGCCTTGTCATGGCGAAAGGGCTGGAGTAATTCAGAGAAGCTATGAGCCATGCCGTGCAGGGACACCCAAGATGGACAGGTCATAGTGAAGAGTTCTGACTAAATGCGATCCACCTGGAGCAGGAACTGCCATGCCACTTCAGTATGTTTGCCAAGAAAATCCCATGAACAGAAACAAAAGGCTAAAAGATATGACGCTGGAAGATAGGCCCCTCAGGTCGGAAGGCATCCAACATGCTACTGAGGAAGAGCACAGGACAAGTACAAGTAGCTCCAGAGCTGATGAAGTGGATGGGCCAAAGCCGAAAGGACGCTCAGCTGTGGACGTGCCTGGAAGTGAAAGGAAAGTCCGATGCTGGAAAGAAAAATACTGCATAGGAACCTGGAATGTAAGATCTATGAACCTTGGGAAGCTGGAGGTGGTCAAACAGGAGATGGCAAGAATAAACATCGACATTCTGGGCATCAGTGAACTAAAATGGATGGGAATGGGTGATTTCAACTCAGATGATTATCATGTCTACTATTGTGGGCAAGAATCCCGTAGAAGGAATGGAGTACAAGGCAGATCTTTCAACATCACAGTAATCTAAGTTTATGCATCAACCACCAATGCTGAGGAGACTGAAACTAACCAATTTTATGAAGACTTACAACACCTTCTAGAACTGACACCAAAGAAAGATGTTCTCCTCATTATAGGGTATTGGAATGCTAAAGTAGGGAGTCAAGAGATAAAAAGAACAACAGGTAGGTTTGGCCTTGGAGTTCAGAATGAAGCAAGGCAAAGGCTAATAGATTTTTGTCAAGAGAACAAGCTGGTCATCACAAACACTCTTTTCCAACAGCACAAGAGGCAACTCTACACATGGACATCACCAGATGGGCAATACCAAAATCAGATTGGTTATATTCTCTGCAGCCAAAGATGGAGAAGCTCTATACAGTCAGTTTTGAGAGTTCCTTCATGTTTTCAATATCTCTGAGTACTAAACACATGAATAAGGCTTATGGCTCTCTAGAATCTCAAGCAGAAGTTTGTAGTACCTCTGTGCCTTGAAACTCTATTGAAATTGAGATGCTAAACGGTACTAGCCATGCTGGCTGGCTGTGGAATTCTAAGAGCTGCAGTTAAAGCAAATAGTTTTTTCCAGCCTGGGTCTAAATTGTGCTAATGCTTGCAAATCTTTATCTGACTCACACTGACTTACGTCCTGAGGTTCACAATGGAGTGCCCTAGAAACCCATTGTCTGGGGGAGAGAGAGAGAGAGAGAGAGAGAGAACAATATCTGATTATAACAGAGACATGGGGAAGAGAAGAATATTCTTTCTTATTATGACAAAGGTAGGCACTGTGATGTTGTGAAGATATAGCATTCCCATGGTAACAGTTGTCATTATTACACTTCTCCAAGTGTACAAATAAACAAATACACAAGTTGTCTTCCTGGACATGATGGCCCCATAATGGAAAACATCCCTACTCATAAAATTGAGTACTCCATGCTCTCTGAATGGATATATTAACATTATAAATCTGTCTCATTTGCTTCCTATTCAACACAGACAAAGTGCTGTCTCAGTGGTCAATAGCCAGGACTCTTGTTTCATCAAACCACCTACACAGTGACTATAGTGTGAGGAATTTTACTTTCTTGATGCCTGCAATAAGAGATATTCAGAACTTCCTTGCATAAGCATACAGTAAGTGAGATAGTCCCGATGGCAAAGCTTGCTCAATAAGGGGATCCTCCATTAACCATGCTAGCAAAACTTTATACTCCATCCATCTAATGGAACCCTCATCCATATATCTTATTTATTTGTTTGCGTTTGCAATTTTTTTTTTCTTCAGTGCCAAATCTACTGTGACGTCTACACAGAATGAACTGAATGACTGCAGAACAAAACAGCTTGGTGGTAGGCCTTCTTTCCATTGCACTCCAGTCTCCCAACTCCCATCTGACAGCAACTAAATAATGGTATAATCAGTGTAAATAGTTAGCCATTGCAATAAAGCTCTTATTAGTAACAGATGGAAGTCCAGGAAGAGGGCAGCTTGAAACTCTGCTTAAACTTTCACATTAGTTTAAGTAAGCAAGGTGGAAGAAAGGCCTTCTGAATAAGACAGATTAGCAAGAAAGGTTAAGAATTTTTAGGTACTGTTATCCCATTCTGAAATTCTCTTTTTCATATTTAATAACCTACTGATTTTGGTCTGAATAATACTCAAGGTAATCTGTGTTTTTACGCCAGTACTTGGCAGCTGCTATATATGGTCATGCTTCAGGAGACAAAGGGCCACTGTAACAGTGTGCTACTGTTACAAAATTTATAAAAGGGGAGGACCAGGTATACTTGCTTTCAGAACCTCACATAACATCAGAGTAGACAGGCAGGCTATACAAGGGCAAAATATAATGTATTTGTTCTTGAGATCTTGAGACACAAAGGAAGATGTCAAGACGCAGAGATAGTACATACACCAGCAGGGGGATCTTGCGCAGATCGACTGGCAGAAAAAACAAAAGGTGCAAGTCAGGAGCAGAGATGCCAATAAAAAGGAGAAAAGGTAAATGTTAGCTTTAATGTATGCTTAAATGATAGTGGGTGCTAGGCCAACTGTGTTGGATAAGAATCAAATGAGACAGATTTACTAAAGCAAATGCAAAATCAGAATGACATTTAAGTTGTATAGGTGAAAGAACTCTTTCATATTTCATATTATGTTTTGTACAGGGTATGTACGCGTCTGTAGCACATACTACTATTGGAGAGGAAGAAGATAATTTCCAGCTGTTACCTTTCCTCTGCTGAGACTTTCCTTCTGTGGCATCAATGGCTCACTTTTAGGCATCTTCCATTATGTGAAAAACCATCATATAAGTCAACAAGCTGAGGGAAGGCTACAAGATTGAGGAACTCTCCTATTGAAGCATGCTAGGCCTGCCTGTCTGTCAGTAAACTTGATGCACCTCAATATTTGTGTCTGTGATCTTTGAAGAATCATTGTGTCTCTGTGTTTTAGCCACTCCATTAACAAGAGTGACATATAAGAGGAAGAACAAAGGAGTCATATTCTGGAAAACAGGAGAAAAAGAGCATATGAACACAAAATCACATTCCCACAAAAATTTCAGAGGCAGAACAAGGAAACGGTACAGCATATATAATTACAGTGGTGCCTCGCTTAACGAGTGCACCGTTTAATGAAAAATCCGTATAGCGATCCCTTTTTGGGGATCGCTATACGGATCAGCCCCAATCGCCGCACTCGCTTTGCGACGATTGGGGCGTCCGGCGGCCATTTTGGAGCCGCCAA